TGTCTGTCTGTCTGTCTGTCTGTCTGTCTCTGTCTCTTTCTCTCCTTCCCTCTCATTCCTCCCCTACCTTGTATTCTTTCTCTCTCCCCCTCTCTTTTTCTCTGTCTCTCCCTCCTTCCTGCCCTGCCAGCCTCTCTTTCTTTCCCTCTCTGTCTCCCTCCCTCCTTTCTTCCCTCTCTACTTCCATCTTACTCTCCTTTTCCCTCTCCTTAGCCCCACTCTGCCATAAGGTAAGAAAGCTGTCAAAGATACTGAGAGATACTTGAATCATGTCAGAGGAATATAGGAATATAGTTGAAGAACTTCTGCTAAACATTGACAATTAAGCATCAAAAACAATAATCACTATGATGAACTAAGACATTAAACATAAAAAGCCTATGGCTTACAGTAATTCTAAAAAGCACTTTATTAATCACCTTAGGGAGTTGTTAGACTGATAATTACTCATTCTGAAATTTTATAAATACTGAATTTTCATTTTTCAAATTGATAAATGATTGAATCTTTCTCTTAATCTGTTTTTCCTATATGAACTGTATTTCAGTGTTAATTAAATAATTGTTGAATCCAACTATTAAATGCAGAAGGAGTAATATAATTGAAACATTTCTTGTGATCTCTAATAAATAATGTGTCTAAGCAGTGATCATGAAGGACTGTTAAGACTCAGGTACAAAGATGATGGGAAATTTTATGATGGATAGAACAGGATAACGAAACACTGATGAATCAATACCATTAAAAGTAGGCTTGACATTATGTGCCTCCCTTCGTGACTCAATGAAAAAATATATACTACCTATTCTTGCCTCAAGATTTGTAGCTGAACCTAATTCTCTTACGTTTAGATTCAACTACCTGTTTACAAAAAAAAGGGGTGGGGAGGGCTAAAGGAACATCCTAATACTAAAAGCATGTAATCTACAAACCTAACATGTAGGGATTCTTCAGCACAAATGGTTTAGTTTCAAAGAAGGAAGGGAAAAATATTTATAGAGTGAAAAAGAGAGTTGAGAGCCAAAACAACCAGATGATGTGGACCTTACTCAGGTCCTGATTCAAGTAAATGAACTGTTAAAAGCATTTCTAAGACCTTTGCACACAGATAGGGTATTAGACAATTAAAAAATTATTGCTGGGCATGGTGGCCCATGCCTATAATCCCAGTACTCAGGAGGCTCAGGCAGGAGGATCGCAAGAGTTCAAGGCCAACCTGGGCTACATAGTGAGTGCAAGGCCGGCCTGAATTACATAGCAAGACTTTGTCCCAAAAAACAAAAACAATAAAGGAGTTATTATTAATTTTTTGACAAAGGTATTATGTTTGTTTTTTTAAATACTAAAATACTTTATGTAAAACAATATGATATCTTGAATAAATGAAATTAGATTGACAATGTTGACAAATACTGAAGCAAAGTAATGGATACATGAGTATTAAGTATTCTTATATGTGCATTTTGGAAGTTTTTCATAATAATTTAAAATTTTATTTTATATTAGTTAATTTTAAGTATTATAGAGATTAGTAAATGGTAGATACAGAAGGATAAGAAGGATATAGAAAGTTTTTCTGTGGAAGAGATGAAGGCAGAGTGACTAAAGTACTAAAATTTTTTAATGAGTAAAGATGAGAAGTAAACCAGAAGTAGAGTGACTGCTCTTTGAGAGGAGGAACATTTCCTCACTGTTGTCAGACAGAACAAAGAAAAGATGTATAGGCATGCTAGTGTATAGATTTGGTGTGGGAAGGTTAGGATATTCCTATGAGACAGCTTCTGTCTTAGGTGAAAGAAGAAGAAAGGAATAAGGCGAGAGGAAAAGATATGTACCATTTTAGAGATTAAAAAAGTAATCTTTTTGTGTAACAAGGTAGGATTGCCTGACAGTATTGAATGTCAGCAGTTTATCCTTTTGTGAGATTTATTCTATCAGTATTTAGCTATTTTGGTTCAGGTCTAGCAAAGCACATGGTAGAGTCAACAAGGACTAAAGAATCGGAGAGTCAATGTAACCAAAGTGACATAAAAAGTGATTGAAATTAAGTATTGCTGGGCACAGTGGTGCATAACCCCAGTTACTCAGCAGGCTGAGGCAGGAGAATCACAAGTTTGAAGCAAACATAGGTAATTTAGCAAGGTTTTTTTTTTTTTTTTGAGACAGGTTCTCACTGTGTAGTTGAGATTGACCTTGAACTCACTATGTAGCCAAGGTTGGTCTCGAACTCACAGTGATCCTCCTGCCTCAGCCTCCCAGGTGCTGGGATTACAGGCATACGCCACCACACCTGGCCCACTTAGCAAGATTTTGATTCAAACTAATAAATGAAAAAGGTTGGGGATATAGATAGGTAGTGTTCCCTAGGTTCAATCCCCAGTACTGCAATAGAAAAGGAAATTAAGTACCTTGGGATCTAAGCTGAACATAAAAAGAATAAACAAAGACTTTAGCAGAAAATGAAAAAGACCAGTTAGGGAGTTTTTGTGATGGTTCTAGTAAGGGATACAAGGAAAGTTTGGTGAGGGCAATGGCACAGCATATGTAGAGAAGTGATCCGGAAAAGTTGAACCGCAACTGGACACATTGGTGCACATTTGTACTTGGGAGGCTGAGTCAGGAGAATCGCAACTTGAGTCCTGCCTACGCAGCTTAGTGAGACCCTGCCTCAAAATAAATATTTTTTAAAAGAGAGTGAATGAGAATGTAGCTCAGGGTAGAGTTCCTCTGAGTTTGTTCCCCAATTCAAAAAAGAAAAAAAAAAGGAAGAAGTTGAACATTAATGGGAAAATACACTTTATTTAATCTTTTGAAATTTAAGTTTATTCGGCATGATTTTTAAAAAAAATATTGTATATCTTTACTGAAAACTTTAATCACTTTTTCTCAGAGTTTGAGTGTTTTAATTATATCACAGATAGCACATTTTATGATATTGATTGAATGATGATTTTGTTTTGCTTTATAGAGAATTAAACTCAAAGACTACCTTGAAATTTGTGCATACGTCATTTCATGGGGTTGGACATGACTATGTGCAGTCGGCTTTTCAAGCATTTGGTTTTAAGCCTCCTATTCCAGTACCAGAACAAAAAGATCCTGATCCAGACTTTTCTACTGTTAAATGCCCAAATCCTGAAGAAGGAGAATCTGTGCTGGTATTTTTTTTAATATTTACGATATTATTAATTTTAATTTCTAAATTATTTATTGAATCATCAGAGTACATAAAGCTTACTTATAATTCAATGCCTTATAAAAGCAGAAACCACTGAAAATTTTATCTTTTAAATTGTATTGGTACCATAGGGTTTTTGTTTGTAATCTCTGTAATGGGTATCCCTACTTCTAGGCTTATTATTTTAAATTTAGCCTAATTGTAGGCCTTCCAAGATTCATACAGCATAGTTCCTACATTCAGGAATATTAAGACTGAATTTAGATTCTTCAGTACAATCCAGACTATTGGGGTCGTTGTTTCAGGAGCTTTCTCTGAGACTCGCAGAAAGAGAAAATGCGCGGGTAGTTCTTGCTACAGATCCTGATGCAGACCGACTGGCAGTGGCAGAACTTCAAGAGAGGTAAGGAGAACCTATTGTCTGATTGAATGCTTGAGCTTCGAGGTGCAGCTCAGTGGTCAGCACCTGACTAACATGTATAAGGCCCTTTTTGTGATCCCCAACACTGAAAAAAAAGAAGCTTGAGCTTTTAAAAGCAGTTTTTCTTTTTTACTATAAGTCGTACAGGTTTACTGATAGAAAAGATTATAAATAGGAAGGGGATGTGGCTCAACACTGCACCTGCCTGGTAAGCACTAGGTCCTGAGTTCAATCCTCAGTACCAGAAAAAAAAAAAAAAGAAAGAAAAGAAAAGAACATAAATCCTATATAACCCTACCATTTAGTAATAAACACCTAAGTTGATACTTCAACATTTCTTCCTTTTTCCTACTCAAATAAAGATGCATATATTTTGATTTTTGGGTTTGTTTTTTTTCTTTGGTACTAGGGATTGAACTCAGAACCTTGTGCTTGTGAGGCAGGCGGTACCACCATTGAGCTAAATCCCCGGCCCAAGATATATATATTTTTATAAAATTATAACCATGTTATATATAGTTTTATGACTTGATTATTTTCTACTTCAGTTGTACTCTAAGCATTTTCCCTGTCTTTATTATGTTTTTTGAAAATACTAATTTTTAAAACAGCATAATATTCTAATATATTACTTCATAAATATAAATCATTTCTTAATCTTGGTCCTCTGGTTTGTTATGTATTTTTGCCATTATGATGTGATGGATGTCCTTACATAAAGATGTAAACATTTATTATAATGTTTGTCTCATTAAGTAGGAGAATAAAAGTAACAATAGAAGTAATAATATTCCAAAAGACATTACAATCATTTCTACCCTAACGGTCATTAGCGATCAATTAGAAAAGCAGTAATAGTATTTTCTGAAAAGTCTAGTGTAATAGATTTTGATCTTTCTATCTGAATGATGGTAACTTGTATGTCTTTGGGCCAAGAAGTTTTAATGAGAAGCTAGAAAGGTATTGACTGAGTTTGTATTCTCTCTGCAGTGGTCATTGGAAAGTTTTCACAGGAAATGAGTTGGCAGCTTTGTTTGGATGGTGGATGTTTGATTGCTGGAAAAAAAATAAACAAACAAATGCTGATGTGAAGAATGTTTATATGTTAGCCACCACTGTCTCTTCCAAAATATTGAAGGCAATTGCACTTGAAGAAGGATTTCATTTTGAGGTAAGAATAGATACTGTATGGTACTCTTCTAAACCCATACATATTTATAGGCTAAAGACATCTTTCCACACAAACTGATTTACATTGATTTTATTTATAATCCCCTCACTTTTCCTGATTCTGTTAACACTTGCTTACTATTTTTGATAAATTAGACACCCTGAGCTAAATTCACTTCATATGTGAATTTTTAACTGAGATATTCTTCAAAAATTTCATTAACACTTACTTGATATTTCCAAAAGCTTGATGATGTCATCACCCTTTGTTTAGACTCTTTGAGCACAGTATTAAGAACTTCAAATAGACTTCTAACTTACAAATTAAGATCTAGTGAATCCACATCTTTGCTAAGAAACTGTCATTCTCAGGCATTTTTCTTGAGCTATATTCAAGCTACAGATCTCACTACTAGTTGGCTGAGTAAAAGAAAATTGTGCTTGTTTTTATGAAATACAGATTTCAATCTTAGACTCTCAAAATGTTTTGAGGAAGATAAAAAATGTAAGATTAAATTTATTCAAGCCTAATTACAATAATATTAATGTTTTCCTTATGTATATCTATGGCAAGAAAATGTATTTTGAGCATGAAAAAACATAATTCCAAAAACAAGCATATTATAAAATTATTTTTTATTGGTGGCAGTAGATTGCTTGACCTTTTTATTTTCATATTTTGGTGAAACAATAAAGAAGTGAATTAGGAAACTTCAGAGCATGTTTTAAAGTGAATAGTAGTTCATGAAATGAAAAGTCCTCACATCTAATTACTAAGAAAGGCCTTCGTGACTGTCGTGGTGGTTTTATTCAGAACACAGTGTTATGAAAAGTTACACTTGGTTCAAGCATCACTACAAACCTAGTGGCTTTTGTTACTTAGGGAGACTAAATCACACTCTTTTTGGGCAGTCTATATTAGTGGTTGTAATATAGTTTAAAGAGCAGTTTTTGGGAAGCAGTGTAGTTGAACACTGCCTCCATCTCTCAGGCACAGCACCTTGACCAAATTTACTTTACCCCTTGAGCCTCTGTTTTGGCAACAGTGTTTGTGAGTTTTACCCCTTGAGCCTCTGTTTTGGCAACAGTGTTTGTGAGTATTAGAAAAGATGATGTAAAGCACCTATTGTAGTATTTAAGAAATAATAGAGAATAATAACATACCACTTTGTAGCTATATTCGTCATCACGATATTGGATTATATTTTATATACATCATCTTTTACTATGCAGTGTAAATATTAGGTCATCAGTAGTGGCAGTATGTGAATGTAGGCACTTTATTACTGATCATTGCATCCATATATAATCTTTGTGGACCAAAGATCAAAACAGAAGCTCATTATACAAGTTATGTGTATTTAAGGATAAGTTTTTCTCTAACGTGGTTATGACAGAGTAGCTTCCTATGCATTTCAGGAAACATTACCAGGTTTTAAATGGATTGGAAGTAGGATAAAAAACCTCCTGGAAAATGGAAAAGAGGTCCTTTTTGCATTTGAAGAGTCTATAGGTATGTAGTAAATGTTACATTTTAAATTTAATTGAAAGCATTTTTTTAGGTTTTATATTTTGAATTGTAAAAGCTGCAGAGAACTCAGAAATATATAGTACATTTCTCTTCAGACAAAAAAACCAAACCTGAAGGCTCCCTGAATATGTTCAGTATTAATGGATTTCATCTATCTCTAGGCTCTTAAATTCACTTGTTCTTCTGAATAAATGTAAAACTACTAAAATTATAGGCTTAAATGTTTCCTTTTTCTAAAGATATTTTTTAATCCTCAGGTTTTCTGTGTGGAACTTCGGTTTTGGATAAAGATGGGGTGAGTGCAGCTGTCGTTGTTGCTGAGATGGCATCTTACCTGGAGACCATGAATGTAACACTGAATGAGCAACTGATTAAGGTTTATTTAAAGTAAGTTTTGTTATGCACATGCTAGATCTGTCTTTCTTTGTTGTTGTTGTTATTGTTGTTGTTTTGGCCTTATCCTTAGTTTTCTAAAGTTAGTTTTTGAGTATTGGTTCATTTTTTTTTTAAGTATTAAATTGTCTGAATTAGGGACTTCCCCTTTCTACAAAATATTATAAAATAGACTTATCTTTAATATGTACATTTCTTGGGCCAAGGATTTAGCTCAGTTGTTCGGTGGCCTGCCTTGCAAGCACAAGGACCTGAGTTCAATCCGGTACCAAAAAAAAAAAGTACATTTCTAAAGAGTTACCTGAAATCTAACCTTAGCACTTTAAATCTTTGTGCAGATATGGCTATCATATGTCAAAAACTTCATATTTCTTATGTTATGATCCACCTGTCATCAAAAATATATTTGAAAGGCTTCGCAATTTTGATTCTCCAAAGGAATATCCAAAATTTTGTGGAGCATTTGCTATACTCCATATACGGGATGTTACCACTGGATATGATAGCAGCCAGCCTAATAAGAAATCAGTAAGTATGTATTGTTTTTTCAGAGAATGAAGAAAATTTAATGGCCAAAAAGCCTTGAGGTAGGACAGTTTTCATTTGAGGCTAAATCTAATTTCCTCATGTTTACTAGCTTATTATATAGGTTATAGTTTAGAAACAACCAGATGAAAGAAATGCATAAGTAAAGCTACTGGGGGTAGGGAAAAGTAGGTGCTTCCATGCCTTCTTTGTGCACACCGCCCTCCTAGCAAGCCCGTGTATTCACTAATCCAGAAGCTCTTCAAAGTACCTAATATTTCTTTTTATTTGGGGGTTTTTGTTTTGGGTGTTTGTTTGTTTGTTTGTTTTTTGCGATAGGGTCTCACTATGTAGTTTAGGCTGGTCTTGAAATGCAGGGATCCTCCTGCCACAGCCTCCCAAGGGCTGGGATTATAGGTGTGCTCCACCACCCATGTCTGGCTGAAAATATCTAATTGGTTTTAAAAGTTTTTAACAATTTTTAAGAATTTATACTACAGCAAAATAGTGGGACTTTAGGCCTGTTTCTTGAAGTTAGTACTCACTGTTTTTCTCCAGAGTAGTTTTAAGTCCACTAGCTAGTATCTCTGACTAATCTTCATCACTTCCCAGATAACCATCCTGGGGTAAGGGGAATACGGGAAGAGAGAAAGACAGACAGGAAATGGAGAGAGAGAGAATATGCAATGATGCTAAGTAATGTTGAAAATAAATTTTAAAAGCTTATAAGTTCAAAGCCACACATGTTTCTAATTTTTACTTTGCTTTCCAGTTTTACTTCCTGTACCTGTAGCCAAACAGAACAACCTATAATTTCATACACACATACATTTTATTTTGTATTTCTCCTCCCCATTTGCAAAAGCTCTATTTCCATTTTTTTAATTCTTTTTTTTCCTTTAAGTCCCCTTTCCCCTTCTTCCCTCCCCACTCCCCTTGTCTCTTGTTCTCCTTCCCATTTGAACAAGTTCTTCCTACTTCCAATATTTTTCCTCTATTTTCATCATTATTTATACTTTGGGTTTCTCTCATAAGAGACACAATGAGATAATGGAACTTGTGTGTTTGATTTATTTCACTTAGGATTATAGTCTCAGGGTGTATCCATTTACTTAAAAATGTTTCAAGTTTATTTTTCTTTATGGCAGAGTAGTACTCCATTGTATATAGATTTTTTTTTTTTTTTTTTTTTTTTTTTTTTTTTTTTTTTTGCTTTTGGTATCCGGGATCAAACTTGGGACCTTGGGCTTGCTAGACAGGCAGTGGAACCACTGAGGTAAAGCTAAATCCCCAGCCCCTATTGATATATTTTCTTTACTTATTCATCTGTTGATGGGCATTTGGGCTGTTTCCAAGATTTAGCTATGATAAATTATGCTGCCACAAACATTGGTATGCATGTATCACTGTGGTATGATGACTTTAATGTTTTTGGGAAGATACCTAGAAAAGAAATAGCTAGGTCCAGTGGAACCTTAATTTTGTGTTTGTTTGTTTGAGATAAGAGTCTCGCTAGGCAGTTCCTGCTGGCCTTAAATTTATTGTATCGCCCAGGTTGGCCTTGAATTCACAGCAGTCCTGCCTCAGCCTCCCAAGTAGTTTTATTTTTTGAGGAATCTTCAATACTGGTTTCCACAGTGGTTGTACCTATTTACTCTCCCACCAGCAAAAGAGACTTCACACACACACACAGCCTTGCCAGAATTTGTTATTGGTTGATTTCTTGATGATAGCTGTTCTTTCTGGAATGAGATGGAAAGAAAAAGAGTGAAATGGAAGGGCTGGGGATTTAGCTCAGTTGTTTCACCGCTTGCCCCACAAGCACAAGGGCCAGAGTTTGGTCCCTGGTACCAAAAAAAAAAAGAATGAAATGGAATCTCAGTGTTATTTTAATTGCATTTCTTGAATGGCCAGTAGCATTTTGTCATGTATTTATTGGCTGTTTGCACTTCTTTATCTGAGAAGTATCTGTTCATTTCAGGTGCCCATTTTTTAATTAAGTCTTTAAGTTTGGGGGAGTCTAAATTTTTTTTTTAGTTCTTTGTATATTCTAAATATTAGACTTCTGTCTAAGGAGTAGCTGGCAAAAATTTTTTTCCCATTCTGTAGGTTGTCTCTTCACTCTGAGCGCTTTGAACTTTGGAGCAAGTAGATCTGGCTTCTACTTTTTGTTCTACCACTTAGCTAATTTTTTTTTTTTTTTTTTTTTTTTTGTACCTGGGATCAAACTTGGGTCCTTGTGATTGCAAGGCAGGTGGTGGAACCACTGAGCTAAATCCCCGGCCCTTAGCTAATTATCTTAAGCAGATCATTTCTTTTCCTTGATCCTTGTCCAGATTTTGACAGTAATATTGACTTAGCAGGATTGTTGTTGAAGCCAGAGATGATATATGTAAGGTATGTAATCCAATGCCTGAATTATTACAAGGGATCGCATAAATGACATGTTTATAAATTATTATGTAAGTAATCTTTATATTTTAAAATTTAAATGAAATTCTTTTTTTCTTTTTTCTTTCTTTTATTTTTTTAGTACTGGGAATTGAACCCAAGGGCTTTGCTTTGAACTATCCATAATCCATTTTAAATTTTTTTATTTTGACACAGAGGTCACTAAGTTTCCCAGGTTGGGCTCAAACTTAGGATCCTCCAGCCTCAGCCTCCTAGAGTGCTGGGATTATAGACTGTACCACCACACTTACCTTAAAGTAAGTTTTTAATTGTGGTTAAAAACCATAAAATTTACTCTCTTACCATTTTTAAGTATGCAGTTCACTAGTATATTCATATTGTACAACAGATCTCTAGAACTTTTTCATTTAGCTAAACTGAAACTCTTCACTCATATTAAACAAACAACTTCCAGTTCTCATCTCCCTAAACCCTGGCAGTCTTCATTCTAATTTTTATTTCTATGAATTAGACTACTTAGATGCCTCAGAAGTAGAATGTATTTTACAGTTCTCAAAAGTGAGTAAGATGCCACATACAATTAAGCTGTTGTTGTTGCAATTTTGCATAGGTGCTGCCTGTAAGTAAAAACAGCCAAATGATTACATTTATTTTCCAAAATGGTTGTGTTGCTACTCTTCGGACAAGTGGGACAGAGCCAAAGATAAAGTATTATGCAGAGATGTGTGCACCACCTGACAAGAGGTAAGAGTAGATTTTTAGACATACATAAAAAAAGCTGTTTAGATATAATCACATAAGATATACTTCAGTCACTTAAAATGTATAATTCATTGGTGTTCTGTGTACTCCATGTTGTGCCACCATCACTACAGTTAGTTTTTAACCTTTTCATCATCCCAAAAGAAGCTCTTACCCATTAATCATTTCCCATTTCCTTCTTTCAAAGTACTAAGTAACCATCAATATACTATCTTTCTCTATGGATTTGCTTATTCTAGATATTTCTTATAAATAAATCATATGATGTGTAGCCCTTTGTGATTGGCATTTTTTACTTAGCACAATGTTTTCTATTGTCATTTCTGCTTTATGCTTTTTTAAAAATGTTTTGGATTTAATGTCTCAAAATCTTCCATTGCATGGATATACCATCCTTTTAATTTATCAGTCAGTGGACATTCAGGTTATTTTCAATTTTTGGTTATTGCATTATGAACATTTGTGAACAAGTACTTATGTGTGCATGTATGTTTTTATTTTTTACATAAATATAGATATATATCTAAGAGTGGATTTGCTGGATCATATAATAACTTATATAATAAAATGTTAAATTTTTTGAGGTCCTTCCAGATTATTTCCAAAGAAACTGTTTCATTTGGAAATTGAATTTTGATTCTTGAAAAGATTCACTGAGTTTTAACTATTATATGAGGAATATAATGAAATGAACAGCAGCTGGGCTGGAGATGTAGCTCAGTGGTAGAGCACTTACTTGATGTTCCTGAAGTTTTGGGTTTGATCGTCAGCATTGAAAGAAATGATTAGCAAATAATTTGGCTTTTTGGGGTTTTTTTGGAGGGGGGTTGTTTTGGTCCCAGGGATCCAATTTAAGGACCTTATGTTTGCAAGGCAGGTGTGGCACGGAGCTAAATCCCCAGCCCGTCAAATAATTTCTATTTATTGCCAGATATTTGTTTTCTGTGTCTGATATAGTTTGACATAATCTTTTCAGTTCATTTCCTTGAGTATAAATTGTGACTAATTTAATTCATCAAAAATTATTAATATGTCTATTAAAGATATTCAAAGGCTGTTTAACCTTATTAAAAGTAGTACCTCCTATAATGTTGTCATTCACCAATATATTTTTGCAAAGGAGTTTTATTTTTTGTGTGGGTTTTTGTTTGTTTGTTTTTTGAGTTTTTGTTGTTGGTTTTGTTTTGTTTTGATTTGTTGTAGTATTGAACCCAGGGGCTTCACACTAGGCTATATCCTTAGCCCCTTTTGTTTTTTTATTTTGAGACAGGTCCTCGCTAAGTTGCCAGACTGTTCAGGCTGGGCTCAAACTTGTGATCTTCCTACTTTAGCCTCCCAGAGTACCAAGATTATAGGCATGCACCACCATGCCCAGTGGGAAAGCAGCTTCTTGAAATTGCTTTCAGAGCCCAACCAGAATATATTATTTTATGTTTCCTCATAGCTTTGCATTAAGAATTTGTTTATACTGGGGAGTAAAAAAAAGACCTGAAGTCATGCAGAGCAGACTTTCAAGTTAAACAAATTAGATAATGCTATATATTTGGTTTAAAACAAAAGATGATTATTAAAATAATGAAAACTGATTTTTGTACCTTATTAAATGACCATGAAGAAAATTTGAAAGAAGCTTTCCTAGAAATATTTTGGACAATAGCAGCTTCTCAGTGATGGTCTTGAAGAGCTTAGTGAATAGTTATTAATTGAAGTGAATAGTTTTATTTTTTTAACATTTTATTCTTTTAATCACCCCTCCTTCTGGTTCCTGAAAGATATATTACATTATCCCGTGACATCAATATTAAGTATCCTTCAGAGTATTTCAGGAAGCCTTTTTATCATACTGAAACAGCTGTCATTGTACAAACCAAGCCCATTGTTTCACAAAGCCAAAGAAAGAAATCACAGACAGAAACAAGTTTAAGGGAGAAAAGTTTATTGAAAATGTAAGAACAAAAAGGGCTCCTGGTAGCAGGGAAGGATCCCAGAAAGTGGAGTGCCACGTGGACCCTCAGTGCAAAACCTTTTATGCAATTTTTTTTTATTGAGTTTATTGGTACATTTTAGGTATACAGTACAGTTACATTCATTATTGGGATCTTGTACCTTTACATGACAAATGGTCTTGGTTCTCATTTTTTCCCCTTGTCCCTGTCCTCCCTTCACCCCCTCCTCACCTCCCCATTTATAAACACTTTATTTCCATTTTTTCATTTTCTCCTATTTTTTTCTTTTCCCTTATTACCTTTCCCCTACCCTTCCCACTTTCCCTACACCTTTAGCCCTTTTCTTCCCATTTCACAATGTCAACTATCTCATTAGGATCTTATGTACTATTACAATTTATTCACACCAGAGAAACTATTCGGTATTTACTCATGTGTGACTTATTTATTTCACTTAGCAGTATATCCTCAATATATATCCATTTTCTTATGAATGAGTCTAATTTCTCATTCTTTATGGCTGAGTAGTATTCCATTTTATAGAAGAACCACATCTTCTTTATCCAATCTCCAACTGATGGGCCAATGGGCTGTTTCCAAGTTTTAGCTATTACAAACTGTGCTGCTATAAACATGGGTGTGCATATATCACTCTGGTATGATTCTTTTAATTCTTTTGGAAAGATACCCAGAAGAGGGGCAAAACCTTTTATGAATAACCAGAGCACAGGAGTTGCCCACTCACCCAGTGACCATCAATCATACATAGCCCTGGGTTTAAAATGACTTTTTGGAACTTGGTCTCTTTAGTTATTTAGCATGCAGAATTTAAAGGAAATCAGTTTTAAAGGGTGAAGGGAGTGAAGGGAGGGCAGGGGTATAGGGAAAAAATAAGAACCAAGACATATCATGTAAAGGCACAAGATCCCTATGATAAATGTAACTGTATTGTTTGCTTTAAATGTATCAATAAACTTAACAAGGGGTGGGGGGAGGAAACCAGTTTTAAAAGAAAACTGGTTATTCTGCATTTTTAAGTTCCTCTAAACTTGGCCCTTAATGTAGGGAGGGTGTTGCATTCCATGTTGCCTGAGGAACTCCTTTCCTGATAAAAAGTCCCAGTTTCACTGCCTGTTTTTATTTTAATTATCATTGTGCCTGACCACCTAATTCTACCATAGCCCCTTTCTCTAGCTAGCTGCCTATTCATAATCTAACTAAACTATCTTTTACAATAATACTTCAGTATTAATGTTGAAAGCTTATTAAATTGCCTGACCTAGGAGAATACTTTAGCTATATTATAATTCATTCCTTATGTACCAGGAAATTCCTGTTATTGCAATTCAATTTCTGTTTATGATAGTGTTTTCTTTATAATTTTTAGGGTCTTTTTATTGAATATGTTTCTCTTTTTATTGATTACTTGATCATCCGAGCAGGTATTTGCTCTTAAAAATTAAAATAATTTAAACAAATTTTAAGGCTGTGAAAATAAAGAATTTTAAAATTCTCATTCTTTTTCCTTAGTGACATTGCCTTCCTGGAAGAAGAATTGAAGAAACTCATTGAAGCTCTGATAGAGAATTTTCTTGAGCCCAGAAAGAATGGACTGATCTGGCGTTCTGTGTAGGGCACGTCCATGCGTTATGACTTTGTAATGGCACAGAACAGAGCTACCAAAAACTCCATGCATTGAACCTCCTGTTAGCATTCTCTGTCCCATTTGGCCAAGTACCTTCTTCCTTTCTTTTTCTTTCTTTTCTTTTTGTTCAACTGGCTAAACAAACTATCTAAATTTGAAATGTAAATAGAGGGAAATGATCCAGATTTTTTAATACTTTTGAATGAAAGTCATTACATTAAAAGTGTTCTGGTAACATCATTCTTCCTTTAACACAGACATAACAACAACAAAAGTGAGTTGTCTTACTGAAAAGTAATTGATTAAGCTTAGTAATCCATATCTAGTACTTGTGTATATAGCATGGTTTTAAAACAAGCTTTAAAATAAATGTTACATAATTATAGGATTAGAAATTAATCCATAAAAATGGAAAGAAATGGTAGTGTTCCTACATCATTATGGTAAAGTGTCATTGTTACATCTTAGATATTAGTTTATAAATCAAAATATTTGTAATAGGGTAGTTAGCATTTCTAGTTTAGTACAGATGTTACAATATGTGGTTTTGTATCTGTTTCTGGTGCCCTTGATGCAGTGTAAATTTACTGTATGTATTTAAAACTGATGTTTACTGAACAGAAAACAATAGTGGCAACATTTATAGTGGCTTTGTTCTTGTCAAATTTCTTAGTGCCTTCTCAAGTCTGATATGAACTGAAACAGTGTTCCTACACTGAATAAAATTTTATCAATTTCCAGATAGTTACAGAAAATCTTCCAAACTGTACAGGTGCCTCCTCTTTATCAAGTGAGTTTGTTTACTTTAAAATACTATGATTAGAGCCGGGGATTTACTTTAGTGGTGCCACTGCCTGCCTTGTAAGCGCAAGGTCCCAAGTTTGATCCAATACTATGATTATATAAGAAGATCTGAATGAAAGCAGACTTAATGTAATTTTGTTATGTTTGTATCAGTTAACCTTTAGGAAAGAAAAAATTCTGAACTGATAAATGAGCTCTGAATTTATTTGACAGTCTTAACTTTGGAATAACATTTTTGAGATTTATTCCTTTATCTGATGAAGTAATGCTAATTTTAATGAGGCATCAAGATTTAAATACTAAAACTAATGTTTAAAGCTAAGGTCCAAGTTATTCTAACATTTTGCTAGCTCCTGTTGAGTTTCTGATCACATGAGTACTCTTTATTTGTTTTTAATATGGAAAATTTTTTTAAGAAAGTAACTTTTGGTTGATTTTATAATCATGAAAAGATTTAATAGAGAACTATTTAATTTTTGTAAGATCTATATTCTGTCCAATTTGCAAAATACACATATATAGCTGGAGTAACAAAAGCAAAGTTTTGGGTATAAGCACCTAAACAAATTGCCCACAGGAACAGCACAGGTTTTAGAGAATTTATTCCTTAAAAATTAGTAATAAAGTCTGAACTTATCAGAATGCTGATTAAATCACAGTTTGATTTGTTTTAGCTATCAGCTAACTTGCTTGAGCTCATATAATTTAAATATAATAATTTTCAAATTATTGTATTGCCACTATTGTTAATTTGTTCCTTCCTTATTTTATTTCTAGATCTTGTATGATTGTAGATAATAGACAGCTAGCTAAATGTAGAGCACCATTTTTTCCTGAATGAATTTGTTTTCAAAAGGTTTGCACTGGAGAAGAAATGTATAGAATTTTTTATTTTATTTTAAAATGTGAAAAACACTGTTTTGTTAGCTTTTAGGAATTTAAATTGGAATTTAGCAACAGGCATATATTCTACGAAGTGGTATGAACAATGTTATATTTGTTTGAAACACTGTATTTGGAGGGGTTTTTTTGGTACTGGAGATTGAACTCAGGACCTTATGCTTGCAAGGCAGGCATTGGAACCACTGAGCTAAATCCCCGGCCCCTGTATTTGGTTTTAGTGTCTGTGTTTCTGTGACCAAAGAACAAAATGAGGCTAAATATACTTGATAGCCCATTCATAATCACTAGAACCATGTCATGATTGTCTTCTCTTACAAAGAGAACAGTTTTATTTGGGTGCTTTAATATAATGCAACATGGAAACCCTCTTTAAGTTGAAGATTCCTTGGCATTTGGATTCTTCTCTAAAAAATATTAAAGTCTAAAGTTGAATTTAACAAAATTTTATACATGTTCATGAAGTATATGGGTTGAAGGCACTATTTGATTCTACCTAAACTCTTGAATCTGTCTGAGAGTGATATTTAACATAAGTTTGACATAGTAGATACACACTGCCATCAGGATGAGTTCAGTGATAGCCCAGCAAGCATAAGTGCTGTCCTATGGATGTTAATTGCAGGCTCTGTGTTGTTCTTTTTTTTTTAACAATCCCAGAAATGTATGAATTTTCATTGAACATAAAAATAAAAACTATTTTCTGCAGGGGCAAAGAAAAGAATGGGGCAAGATCAAAGCATAAATTGGAAATAAACAGTAAAAATAGAAATATAAAGGCTAATAAGACAGTACAGGAAATGTTTCTTGTGAAGAATAAACCTAACACCATAAAGGTAGGGAATAATGTGGGCAAGGTTGTTCACTTCTGTTTATTTCTTGGTATATTGAATGGGTAGCCTGTTGTTTTTCTTTATTAGAGATCACTAAAAACAAGCCAGTTTTAGGAGGTGGAAAAATAAGTGTTTCTATTACAGATTAAATTCCTGCTAGGATGTTGTGTTCAGAATCATGTGAGAAGTCAGGAGGAGATTAAGTAGAAATAAAAAGGAATCAAATATAGGTTACAAACAGAGACCTGAGAAAAAGTTGAAAGAACTGTGATCATTTAACTCTAGAAAGGAGGAAGCTGTTGAGATCATTTACTCAAGTACTAATGTCATACTGTTTTTATTTTTTAATACATTTTATTTTATTTTATCCCATCCCCACCTCTCAAGCCCCCTTCCCTCCTGGTGTACAAAAGCTTTGTTTCCATTTTTTCCTTCTATTTTCACTTTTTTCTTGTCTCTTCCTTCAGGAGAAAGGATTTTTTTTAAAAGACAGCATGAAATGTTTAAGGTTTAAGAACTTCTTGGGCAGAATTTGTCATAAAATCCCCCATTTGAAATCTTTTTTTTTTTTAATCTTTTTGTTTTAAGGGAATAAATTTTTTTTAATGTTAAGGGATACACTAAATGGCTTTTTAAAGGATCTTTTCTTGCAACACATATTTTTAAAAGTTCAGATTGGAAAAATCATGTTTTAAAAAGTACTGATAGTAACGTTTGGGTTTCATCATTAACATAAAAGAGTTCAGCTCACAAAATAATTTTTGTATATTTTGAGTAGTAGATGCATGAGTGCAATGAATAAAAGACCTTCTTGGATGTTACTTTTTAGTTGACCTTGAAAGAGAATTAAGTGAGACTACAACACAATTCTGTTCCTCTTAAAGAATATATAGTATTATAGGATATTTGGGCGTTTTGTTTTAAATATAAAATATTGTTAGTTGGATAATGGTTACTTCAGCAAAGAGGTTCTGAGAGATTGGATATTTTGTAATATCTTCATACTGATACAACAGACATGTTAGCTGGAGTCTAAAGGAGAAATTGTTCTATGAACTGCTGCTATTGATATTTTTTCCAAATGCTTTCCAATGATCTTTTTAATGCTTGAAAGAAACCCAAATTCCGCTTAGATGCAATTAATTTTTCTCTCTATCTCCCTCTTTCCCTGGGCACTCTTCAACATTTTCTACCTATGAAAAGCTATTGCTCTGTTACCTCACTGATAAGATATCTTAACTATTCATTCAAAATGTTTTAAACTTATTTATAAACTGTTTGCTTATGGGCTTTTTATTTTATTATCGTCAGAATATTTAAGACATTGTAAGAAGTAATTTTAAATCTATTTCATAATCTCTTTTGGTCTGTCTGATAGCCCTTTAATTCACTTGTTTTCTGAACTTACTCTAGAAATTGATGAGAAAGCCAAAGAGGAGCCAAAGCACAAAATTTCCTCAAATTTTTTCACATATTTCCCTAAAAGCATTTTACTCTAAGCCATAAGAAGTGTAAATAGAAAGAAGAGAATGGCTCATTTTCTGACTCTTTACAAGGCATAGCTTTAATTCCAGTGGGAGACAAAATTAGTGTTGGTTATTTTCAAATATTTACTATACTGTTACATTCACCAAGTCATCTTTCTTCTTTGTTAATTCAAGACTATGTACTTTAATAAGAGAACCTACAAAAAGCAGTGAAGTGATCAAAATAGGGACAAAGTGACATATCTAGAGTTTGCTTCTCAATTTTTTTCCAGCAGCAGAACCTTAAAGCAGAGGAGCATGAAGGGGAATGAGGCCTGTGAGCAAAATCAGAAGCAACCCGCCACCGACATGAAATTTTGTGTTCTGACTTATAAGTAAATTTTGCATTCACCTTAATAAAACTTCTAATATAGAAGTGATATCTTCAATCTTCACTGAAACTGGTGCTGCCAGACAGGAGCACTGTGTTTATCATGTGGCCTCTCAGTATTTTCTCCTAACATCTGCATGCCCAACTGCTGCATATCCCTGGGGGACACACACTAACTCCAGTATGAGAAAGATGAGCATAGATATATGGAGGCTATTCCCTGTACTTCAGAAACTGACCTTCTAAATTACTGATTCTAAGGTAAGCTGATTTGGAACAGTTATGTTACTGTCAAACCTTATTATACAGTCTGAGATGTTGGCCAATTTGTTCTCTTTAACTTGACTAAAAAGGAGCACTCATCATTCCCTGACACCTTAAAAGAGAGGGAGAAAGAGAGAGAGAGAAGAGCACCCATTTGCCTGTCAGCTCCCTGAAAGCAAGAAGCATAATTTGTAGTTTTTCATATCCATATATCTAATTTACTATCTGTTTTCATAGGAATTAAGGGATTTTATTTTAAGGAAGAAAATAGCTTTTTAAATTAAAAAATTAATTTTTCTAATTACGTTTTTTTATGTGACTCTCACTATTTAGTTTCTGTGGAGAGAGCAAAGCATCTTTCTACATGGAAATTGTATATAGTGCCCAGTATTTTACATCCAAAGCAAGCTGCTGGCCAGAAAGGCCAAGGAAATATCTATGTAGATTTGATACCTAGTCTAAGTGTGATTTTGAACTTACTAATAGTACCTTCTAAGTGAGTTACAACTAATTCGATACCATTTGCTCTGTTTTTGCCCAGTGTTATGATTCATCATGTCCCTTACTTTATATTAAAAAGCAAAAGTCTGCTTCTGCATATGGTGAGGCCTTCCTGTTATAGGCTAAAGTAAACTTTGAGTATACATCATTAAATATGACAGATCAAATATATACAGTTAAAAATGAATTATTTTTCTAAGTGTGTAGCAGTAGTTCAAAACTGTACCCCTATTTTAACAGTTTTTGTCAACATCCATTTTTTTCCCCTATAGAAATACCAGGGTGAATTATAAACTACTGCCTGTGAGAATTTGCACTTTATGTATTTGTGTGTGGATTTCTTGTAGTTTTAGTCAAATGAAGTGTTATCAGTAATAAACAGGTCTCTTTATTGGCATGAATTTCTGTGCAATTTTTATTATCTTAGATACTATGTAGTTCATAAAGCTTCGTACCCAAATTGAAAATGTCTTTTAAATATGCATGACATAACCTCTGATGTACTTAGAGTTTAAATAAATATTCTGGCTCAGCACTCAAATATTTCATGATCGATTCATCACAAGTTCCTTATGTAAGTAGGGATTGAGAATGTAGCTCAGTGGTAGAACATTTGCCTCATATGTGTAAGGTCCTGGGTTTGATACCCAGTACCACAAAGGAAAATATTCTTTCAGTCTTATTTTTCTTTTTCTCTCCTCAGTTGACTTAATTTATTTTTCCATATTAGCACCAGCTCCCATAATAAGATAGGAAAGTTAAAAGTTTGGAAATCTCTCAAAGAAGTAATGATAGGCCTGTGATACCATGGTGGTTGTAGGAGTGAGATTATTTTCAAGGGTCATCATGACTGCAGTCCTGGTTTCCATCACCTGTCTGTTCCTTAACAAGACTCAAAAGGAAGATGAGTGAGAATAACATTGTACAAGGTGCTTATATCACCTTCTAAACTGAATATTCTGAGAACCTTCTGACCTATACTTAACCCTCCCCTCTCTGTTATTGTTCTTTATGCCACAAAAAGAAGTGAACAATTAAATTCAAGTAGTAGGATCAGTGGCCTGCAAAGTGGCAGGGAAGGGTACATGATATGTAAATAAAGTCCAGTCACAGGAGCGGGAATAGGTGTCTGAGTGCAGAGTGGGAAACAAAGACTGAGACTTACTAGCTGACTTCCAGCCACACTTCAGTTAACTGAAATTCAGGCTAACCATAGAAAGTTGAGTGGGGGAAAGCAGAAGACAGTGATTTCCCTGTGATTAGGGAATGAGGGCAGCAAAAAATGGAGGCATAAATGGATCTAATGAGATTTTTTTTTCTGTTTTTCACCCTTTCCATTTGTGTATGCTTCCCCCTGGTAGGCAACAAACTCAAAACCTATCTTTAAAGTAGGAGCCCAAATTTAGTCCCACATTTTTCTCTATGATTAGGGAAGTCTTAAGAATCAGGTCAAAATCCACCTGAAGTCCACAAAGTGGACTCCTGACATTCCCAAGCCGTCTTCTTCTCACTTTGCTCCTCACTCCCCTACAACCTAGGAATGCTATTCAAAATTCATTCAGCAAGCCAAGGATGTAGCTCAGTGGTGCTACACCTGCCTGGCAAGCATAAGTTCCTGAGTTTGATCCCCGGTACCAAAAAGAAAATTCATTCGAGAAATTTTAGCCTTTCAACCAGATAGGGCCCTCTCTACATCTATACAGGAGAATAGTAAGGCCCAGACAGGAAAAGTGATTTCCCAGAGATCACAAAGGAGGCCAATACCTAACTTGATGGTGATCCTTAGGTCTCTTTCTCCTTCTATATAAATATTACTAACCTCCTAGGAGCAGAACAATGAATTAGAAGTTAAGATATAACCCATACTTCAAGAAGACAAACATATGGAGCAACAGAAGTACTCTAATAGAGCTAAGTATAAAATGATGCAGGAAGACAAAGGAAGGGGAAGCTATACTGGGCCTGGGAGGGCCTTAAAGAAAAGTAGACACTAAGGTTGAAAGTTGCAGGAGGTACAGGTGTTTGTCAGGCAAAGCCAGGAGAGAGCATGAAGAAGGCAGGACATTTCCAATCTCAGCCCACACAGCACTTCTAATTTTACACTCTCTGAGTGAAATGCCCCAAATCCAACTATCCTTCTAAAGCTCCAGGCCTGTATTTTTAGGCTGCTCTATCTTTCCAAGATTCAGAGCTACAAGAGCCTGGGATTTAGCTCAGTGGTGCTGCTGCCTGCCTCACAAGCTCAAGATCCCAAGTTCAATCCCTGGTATCAAAAAATGAAATATATAATTGTGTCTCAACCTTTTAGCTAAGATCAAGTGCAAGATTCAGAGCTACACATACAACACCAAGTCATCTGTACCTGTATATCCCATAAGCACTTCAAACCTAAGCTATCCGGTACTAAACTTTTCTTTCTCACTGTTGATTCCCTCTACTCATGTCACCACACTTGTTCCTATTTTATGGATTGTCAGAGTGATCCGTTGTTCATCATCCACACACACTGCCCCCCCCAATGGTTTAGCACCTGACACTGAAAATTTTGCTTCCTAGATATGCGATAGTTTCTTCTTCATTGAACAAAATGGAAGTGAGGTTAAGACAATAAAATATAGTCATATGATACTAGAACAGAGGGGCCAGCCTTGAGTTTTAGAGGCGTGGTGTGCCATCTAGATCTGTCCAATCTTGGCTGTGGCTTGACACTACCAGCAAAAACATTCTGGTTGTGAGGCTGGCTGGAACTTTGGGGGACCAGTAAGGATTTTGGGACTTGTTTGGCTAGTTGACTTTTAGTGGTGGCTCAGACAAAAACAAGATGTTGGGAAGCCCAGAGTTGGAGCTCTGATTTTTCCCACTATTCCTTGCCTTCCCTTTAGCCCAGCTATGATTTGTATATAAAACTCACCTTCCCTTTCCTTCTTTACTCTAAATGATTAAAAATATAGACTTGGTGTCAGAGAGCCTTGATTGAAATTATTCCTTCTCCATTCAAACCACTTATTAGCTATGAGATCTTGAACAACATGATAGCCAACTGCTAAGAAGGCCTTCCTCCCTAGTAGAAGTGAGAGCTAGCTATTTCCAAGATTAGGATATAAAAGACACTGTAGCTTCCATCCTGATTACTCCTTTTCTGATCATTTTCTCTGGGTGAAGCCAGAGTCCTGTGGAAAATCTCATGTAATAAGGAAATGAGGCCTCTTGCCAACAGACAGGTGGGCAAGAAACCCTGGCTTTTTCTGTGGGTTAGGAAGATGGATGCAGCTTATCTGGCTCTGGCTCAGGATCTCCTTCAAGGTTGCAGTCAGATATCAGCAGGGGATGCGGTCCTAAGAAGGTGTGACTAGGGCTGAAGGATCATCTTCCCTGGTAACTCACTCATGTGGCTATAGCACAAGGCCTCAGTTCCTCATCCCATGGGCTTCTCCATAGGGTTGCTTGAGTGTCCTTATGACACAGCACCTGGTTTCCCCCCAGAGTGAGTGATCTAAAGAAAGAGCAAGGCAAAAGTTACAGTGTCTTTTATCACCTAGCCTTGGAAGTCATACATGGTCATTTCTGTAAAATTATATGATTACACTGATCAACCCTGCTCCCATGTGGGAGAAATTATATGGGGTGTCAATATTAGGAGGTAGGGATCATGGGGGCCATTGTAAAGACTGGCTATCACAGAGAGAAAGATTAACCAATTTTAAACATGTTAAATTGGAGGTACCTAAAAGACACTCAAGTGCAGATGTCAAGTCATGCAAATACAAGTCCAGAGCTTGGTAGAGAAGTCTGAGCCTGAGATATCAATTTGGAAGTTATCAACATGCAGAAATATTTAAAGCCAAGGAAATGAGAGTATGGGGGAAAGAGAGAGAGCCTTAGCCTTTTAAGACTCCAAGATTTACTCTCTTCACTTTGAAATTGTAATCTCACTTGTTATAATGAAAACTTTAAAATAAAATCAGAGGGAAGGATACAACAAACACCCATGTACCCACCACTTAGGTCAATGAATGTTAGCACTCTTTCTCATTTGTCCCATACATCTTCCTTTCCTTTTAAACCCCTCCTATCCATTTCTTTGCCTTGACTCCTATATTTCTTTTAATTGCTTAGCTTTTGATGGATATCCAATTAACCCAGGTAAAACAGCAAATATTTGTATGGCTCATAATTCTGCAAGTCAACAACTTGTGCTAAGCTTAGCTAAGTTGTTCTGGTCTTGTCTGGACTCCTTTATGGGTCTGAGGTCATCTGGTAATTTGGTTGGGTCCTGAATAATCTATAGTAGCTTCCACTGCGAGACCCACCTCTGTTCCATGTAGTCCCTTGTCCTCTGGCAAATTATTTTAGCTTTTTTCACATGAATGGCTGGATGGAAGTGCAAGAGAAGGAGCCAACACATGCAAGACATCTCCAGTCCTACACATAGAACTCATCCCACCCTTCTACTGCATTGTGTTGGCCAAAAATGTTACAAGCCTAGTACAGATCCTAGGGAAGAAGAAATAATCAACATCTTGGTGGTAGTTACTGCAAAGTCACAGCTCAAAGATAATGGATTCAGGAACAATCAGTTGAGGGATTGTGGCTGTTGTCGTTTGTCTCGGTGTCGCAAAATGGAGTCAGGCAAGATGTAGAGAGCAGGATCAGAGGGCTGAAGCTCACTCAGGCAAACAGCAGCCTCATGATCGCAACTGCAGTATTTATTGAAGCTATTAAGAGCATCCGACAAAGCATATTTTTAGCATTTTATCTTACATCTGAAGTTATATAATATTTTGGCGAGCTGTGTTCACAAAAACAACTTGTTTTTTCCTCTTTTCTTTCCACACCCTTAAGAAACATTTCTTACTTTATCTATACCCACTTGGGAGATTACCAAGGAACAAACAAGAACTGCTTGCATTTCTGGTCCTGAGATGACTGGCCTTCCAGTCACATAGATGCCCTTACATTTCTTCCAAGATGGATGTTTTTATGTTAAGCTCCGCTACATTTCCCCCTTTTTCTTTGTGGTCAGTTCATGTATCAAAACCATGAACACAGCTGTTTTTTATTCCTCTTTTACTTTATGGGTTTGTTGTCTTCAGCAGACTAAATATAAGCATAAAATTAATATAAGCACACCCATTCCAAAGGATCCCCCAAAAGCCCCTTGAGTTTCCCTATTGAATCGAGGGAGCGTAGACCATCCATCAACCCCTGTAAAACTTCTTGTCCTGTTATTTCTGTTAATTTTTCATGATACATCTGATAAATATGTCATTGTAATTCCACAATATAATTAGTAAGATTTCCATGATTTAATAAATATTTCTTTACTTGTTCCCATGGAAATTTTGATTCATTATATGTGATTGGGGTTATACAAAAGGATGTATTCCAATCACATTTTAATTTCAATTGCTGTTGTAAATTTTGTACTCTATCTCCTATTATCAGAACAGCCTCATTCAAATACGCTAATTGAGAAGATATTTCTGTATTTATTTGCTGTTGATGATTCCATAGCTGTTCTGAATTTTTATGCCAATTCTTTACAAAATCATGAGTTTGTACAGTACTCAATGCAACTGCAGCAGTGGCAGCAGTAGCAATAACGGCTATAATACCTAAAATTACAGCTATCAACATTCCTACA